CCACCAAACATCACCCTGAGAAAGACCTTCCCAACACTCAGGAAACCTCCCAGGGCCCTGTATGATGCCAGGGTAGCAGCCTGAAACAGGTCTGGAACTGTCCTCCCCACACCCCCATCCCTCCTTTTCCAGTGGTCCTGGGTTGGCCCCGCAGCAGCTCCTGCCCAGCCCTGATGCCAACCACCCACCATCACTGTTCAGTTCTGCACAGCAGCATCCCCCCAGACAGCCTGCCGTCACCGTCCTGTACCCAGCCCCACCACCCAACAACGCTGCTTGTGTCCCAGCTCCTCTGCCCCAGGACCCACCCTGAGCACCCAGCACCCTTGCTCTGCCCCACAGCCAGCACCCAGCACACTTGCCCGGCTCCCTGGCTGGCCGCTGCACCCCTCCTAGCGCTGCTGTGCTGCTGCCTCTCCTCCCACCCTACATGCTCCCAGAGGCTCTTCTGTCTCTCCTGGTCCCCTTGTCCTGGCATGTGACTCAGACACAGCAGAGCATCCTTCCCAGTGCCTTGGCAGAGATGCACCTGGTGCCACTGGTCACCCCAGGCACATCCCTGCACACCGCCCGTCACCAGGAGCCCATGGAGCCAGCTCTGCTCCAAAAACCTGGCTTTGTGCCCCCACCCACAGCATTTCGGTAGCTACAAAGCGGAGGACTGACGTGCTCCTTACAGAGTTCATCCAGCAGCCTGAAACGCTTGCACAGTCACCTACAGAAAGGCTGGACATTCACTGCTGGGCTGCAGACTGATGCCCCTCTCATGGCTGGGGATTTACTCTGGCCTGGCTGTGCCCTCCCACCCAGACCAAAGGGTCCCTGCTGCTGCATCCCAGGTGAACGGAGCAGTCCTGCAGCCCCTCTCTGCCCCTGCTTTGGGGCCCAGGAGCAGGAGGGCAGGGCAGGATTGGCAGCTGGGGACCACACCAGGAGCATGCCTGCCCAGCACTGTTCTTCAGCATCCCCAACATCCCATTGTCCTTCCTGCCTCCCTTGGGGACTGAGCTGTCCCCGGGGCCCCAGGTGCTCCTGAATTGGTGTACCTGGAGGTGCCACCCCCAGGGATCTCCCAGAGGGGCATGGCCAGGGAGCTCACGAGCATCTCAGAGGCGGGCCATGGCAGACCCTCCTCGTGAAGGGGTCTGGTGTGGGGACATCATCTTTTCCTTACCATCCTTACCCGCGGCACTGAGCCTGCCTGGGCAAACGCGGGTCCATATTCCTGCCCCTCTCCAAGTCCTCCTTCCACCTGGCTGTGACATCAGAAGCCTGAGTTGGAGGACAGGGATGGGGCAAACGCTTCATTTAGAAGCCAGGACTGGGGTGGGGGACCTCCAGAAATGAGCAGCTCCTGCTTGTCAAGCAGGGGAGACGGTGCAGAGAGGCGGGGGCTGCACATCTCCTCTAGCATACACGGCATCATGCTGGGATGGAACCTGCAGGTTTTGGGCTGCACCCAGCAGCTGCCCAGGGTGTGGGTCCATCACCGCACGCCTGTGCCCAAGGGACCCGATGGCATTGCTGGGGTCCCCTGCCAGGGGTGTGCACAGACAGGTGATCCATGAATGTCCAGGGAACCCTGTGCCTCTGCAGACCCTGTGCAATGGCACTGGCACTGGGGAGCTGACTTTCACAGTGCCTGGAGCAGCAGGACAGAGCAGGACCACTGGCGGCAGCGGTGGCCTCAGACCTGGCAGTGGGGGCCATGCCAGCCCATCCAGGCCCGTGTCTAACCCTGCAGTCGGGTGAAGCAGGAGAGGATAATCCAGCACCTGGGGAGCAGAACACAGCCAGGTCCTGCACCCAAGAGCCTGGCAGGTCCCACTCTCCAGCAGAAGCTGGACCGGGGGGGTGCTGGGGAGGGGATGGTGATGGGACCTGTAAATGTCTCAGGGCCATTTCTTTGCCTGTAATGACTGAGCTCTCTGCGGCCACGAGCTTTCCCCGTCTGAGTGCCAAGGTCTGCTCTCTGTCCCCTCCAGCTGTTATTTCTCTGAGCAGGCTCGAGTCCTTGGTGATGGGCACAGACAGGTCTGGTGATGACAGAAGGCCAGGTCCCAACTCAGCGTGGTGACAGCCCTGGAAGGGCAGGGCTTGCCTAGGCATGGGTGCCAATGGGTGTCAGCGCTCCTACACACCCTGATCAGGTTTGGGGAGGGGGAGGGCAGCAGCCCCTGGGCCCACCAGCACAAGCCATGGGCTCAGCTGGCGGCTGGTTTTCATATGATGTGTCGGGGGCACTGGCCATGGGAGTAGGTGCTCAGTGGAACAGGCAAGTTTTGGACCCCATCTGGGCTGATCGAGCCTGAGAGGGTCTCCAGGGACTCTGATCTCTTCCAACCTTGTGTTTGCACCCTTCTTCGATAAACCGGGCTTTGGAGCCCCAGACAACACGCACGGGCAGGCTGGCTCTGTCTGTCGTACGTGGGCACGGAGGGGAGCAGTCTGGTCACAGATAACCCTCCAGGATGGGAGATGCCCCCACAGCAAGGGTTTGTTTTCAACACAAGAACAGGACTATGCAAAATCATGCCATCTGGGGCATTTTTGCTCATTCTGCCTCCTCCTGTCACCATGGTCCCTGTGGCCTTCTCAGTGGGTCCCCAGGTCACCCCAAACATGGCCAACTCATCACGCATGAGGCTTGAGGTCAAGCAAAGATCTCAGGTTCCCAAACCCAATTCCCAGGCTTTCCCACCCCAGTGCTGCCCAGAACTGCCCCACCTGCAGCCCCCTGCCCTGGGACCATCCTCAGCAGCCCACCATGGCCAGTGCTGGGCCAGCACACTGTGGGGCTGAGCCTGCAGGCTGGGGGTGTCAGGCTGGGACAGGGACAGACAGACAGAGGGACACCACGGACAGAAGTCCCAGTGCTGGCTGGACAAAGGAGGGTTTCATGGGCTCTTCCCAGCCCTGGCTGAGAAATAGCCCAAGGCAGAGGCAAAGGGAAGGTCAGTATTGGGACGGTCCCTCAGCTCCCTGCTGTGCCCCATGATGGGGGTCTCTGGGGCACACAGACCCTGTGCCAGGCCATGAGCAGCATGGATTGTCCCCTAAGCAAGAGGGCAGAGAGGAGCCGAGTCCTTGAGCCCTCCGGGGCCCTGCACAGCCCCTTACCTCCATGAAGGGCACGATCCGACAGGACACGTCCCCCAGCAGCCTCGTCTTGGTGATCTCGTTGAAGATGACCACAGGAAGGCAGAAGAAGAGAATGAGGAAGTCCCAGAAAGCCAGGCTGGCCAGGATGGAGTTCCAGGCACTCTTCATGTAGTAGTTGTGCCACACGATGCACATCACAGAGAGGTTTCCGATGATGCCCACTGCAAAGACGATGAGGGACAGGAACATCACAGCATAGGCGCTGTAGGAGTTCTCCGTCACCGGGTACAAGGGGTTCTGGATTTGCAATCGCTTGTCAGACACGGTAGTGAGGTTGGCCCGGGGTTCTGACCCCTCCCCATCCGTGGGGACCCCATGTTGCTGCTCAGATGGGTCCGTGCTGGATGGCATCAGGGCCCTGGTTGGGTGCAGGCTGGCAGAGTTGAGGGGTCGCGGGAACTCCACTCGCACCCCCGGCACATACTGCTGCACCGACTTGGAGTCCTCCTCTGTCCCCCGGCGCAGTCTCTCCTTCATCATCTGGCCCTCTGGACTGTCCTGGGAAATCACTGGCAGGGTCCTACCTCCATGTGCGCCCTGGCTGTTGTGGGTGCTGCCTTCCCCAAGCTGCCCAGCCCTGCCTCGCATCGCCGCAACCCCCGGTGCCAGCAGCATCAGCAGCAGGAGGACCAGTGGCGGTGGAGAAGGCATGGTGCTCTCTGCACCCTCCGGTGAAAGCCTGTGGTGGGAGATAGAGCA